GTTCAAATGTATCATTTCGTTGAGTCTTCATAACCACCCTGGGAGGTAGATAGTCCCTATTTACTGATAAGGAAACTGAGGCTCAGAGCTGGTAATGACTTCCCGGGATCACACAGCTAGTGAGGGGCTGAGCAGGATTTGTGTGTGTGTGTGTGTGTGTGTGTGTGTGTGTGTGAGGAAGATCAGCCCTGAGCTAACATCTGTTACCAATCCTCCTCTTTTTTTGCTGAGGAAGATTGGCCCTGGGCTAACATCCGTGCCCATCTTCCTCTACTTTATATGGAACGCCGCCACAGCATGGCTTGCCAAGCAGATCTGAACCTGCGAACCCTGGGCCGCCGCAGCAGAGCCTGCACACTTAACTGCTTGTGCCACGGGGCCGGCCCTGAGCGGGATTTTTTTAATAAGTGCTTTATTTGTTACTGAACCGGGTTCGTTTTTGCCCATTGCCTGGAAAGCCAAACACTGAGACGACGAGATTGCAGCAGAGAGGGTTTTAATCACAAGGCAGCCAAGTGAGAAAACCGGAGAACGATTCTCAAATCCGCCTCCCCAATAATGGGGACTCAGGGATATTTACGGGGTAGGGGGGCAAGGTGGTCTGAAGTGTGGAGATGGATGATTGGAGGTGAGGAGAGGTGAGGTAATTTTGATGATGATCTGTGCAAGCGTAGTCAAACTTCATGGCTCTTCATGGGACGCATGTTCACAAAATGGTGGCGTTAGTATGATCTGAGAGTGGAGTTTTTAGCCTTTTGACGTTAAAAGGTCATTTATTGGGCATCTGTGTGGGTCCAGTTGATGGGTTGGTGATCTCAACTGGCCTGAACTGGACAAGGGGGTCCTAATTCCTGAAAAACAGCTCAAACACCCATTACCGTGGTGACCCAAGCGCCAGGGAGATGTGATCTACAGAAACCTAGTGGGAGTCAGTTAGCATGTTGCCTAAGCAACACGGTTAACAATGGGTGGGAAAACAACTAAAAGCTATAACTAGTAATCGCAAAAAGAACTTTAGTTACTAGTTACCTAATCATCAATGGCTAACTGTTTACTGGCTTCATACTGAGATATAATTCACATACCATAAAATTCACTTTATAAAGGTGGATGAAATTGTAATTCAATAGTATTTAGTATATTCATAAAGTTGTGCAACTATCACCACTAATTCCAGAACATTGTCATCCTCCCGAAAAGAAACCCCATACCTATTAGCAACCACAGCTCCTGGCAACCTCTGATCTACTTTCTGTCTCTATGAATTTCCCTGTTCTGGACATTTCATAAAAATGGAATTATACAACATGTGGCCCTTTGAGATTGGCTTCTTTCACTTAGCATAATATTTTCAAGGTTCATCCATGTTGTACCATATAACAGCACTTCATTCCGTTTTATGGCCAAATAATATTCCACTGTGTGGATATACCACATTTTGTGTATCCTGTCATCAATTGATGGACATTTGGGTAGTTTCCACTTTCAGGCTATTATTAGTAATGCTGCTATGAACATTTGTGTACAAGCTTTTACATGGACTTGTGTTCTCAGTTCTCTTGGGTATATACCTAAGAGTACAATTTTTGGGTCATGTGGGGTGACTCTATGTTTAACATTTTGAGGAGCTGCCAAACTGTTTTCCAAAGCAACTGCACCATTTTATATTCTCACCAGCAGTGTATGAGGGTTCCATTTTCTCTGCATCCTCACCAGTACTTGTTATTATCTGACTTTTTGATTATAACCATCCTAGTGGGCGTGAAGTCGTATCTTGTGTTTTTGATTTGCATTTCCCTGATGACTAATGATGTTAAACATCTTTTCATGTGCTTATTGGTCATTTGTATAGATTCTTTGGAGAAATATCAATTTAAATAATTTGCCCATTGTTTAATTGGGTTATTTGTCTTATTGTTGAGTTGTAAAAGTTCTTTGTATGTTCTGGTTACAAGACCCTTAGTAGCTATATGGTTTACAACAATTTTCTCCCATTCTGTGGGTTGACTTTTCACTTTCTTTTTTTCATAATCTTTTTTTTTGTGATAAAATATACATAATATAAAATTTTCCATTTTAACCATTTTTAAGTGTCCAGTTCAGTGGCATTAAGTATATTCACATTTTTGTGCAACAATTACCACCATACATCTCCAGAACTTTTTATCTTCCTGAACTGAAACTTTATACCCATTAAACAATAACACCCCATTCCGCCCTTGCCCCTGGCAATCATCATTCTACTTTCTGCCTCTAGGAATTTGACTACTCCAGGTACCTCATATAAGTGGAATCATACAGTATTTGTCCTTTTCTGACTGGCTTGCACTTAACATAATGTCTTTAAGGTTCATCCATGTTGTAGCATGTGTCAGAATTTCCTTCCTTTTTAAGGCTGAATAATATTCCATTGTATATATGTACCACATTTTGTTTATCCATTCATCTATAGATGGACACTGGGGTTTCTTCTACCGTTTGGCTATTGTGAATAATGCTGCTGTGAACATGAGTGTACAAATATCTGTACAAGCCCCTGCTTTTTGTTCTTTTGAGTATATACCCAGAAGTAGAATTGCTGGATAATATGTTAATTCTATATTTAATTTTTTGAGGAACTATCATACTGTTTTTACAGCAGCTGTATCATTTTACATGGGCATCAGCAGTGCACAAAGGTTCTAATTTCTCCACATCCTCACCAACACCTTTTTTACTTTCTTGATGGTGTTATTTGAAGCACAAAATATTTAAATTTGGCTCATTTTATGTATTTTTACTTTTTTTGCTTGTGCTTTTGGTGTCATATCTAAGAAACCATTTCATAACCCAAAGTCACAAAGATTTGCTTGTATATTTTCTTCTAAGAGTTTTATAGTTTTAGCTCTTACATTTAGGTCTCTGATTTGAGTTAATTTTTGTATATGGTATGAGGTAGGGGCCCAACTTCATACTTTTGCATGTGAGTATCCAGTTGTCTCAGCAACATTTATTGAAAAGGCTATTCTTTCCCCATTGAATTGTCTTGGCAACCTTGTCAAAATCAGTTGATCATAAATTTAAGGTTTTTTTTCTGGACTTGCACTCTATTCCATTGATCTCTGTGTATTAAGCAGGATTTTAATCCAAGCTTATGCTCTCCAGATCACACACATCTTTCCTTCTACCATGTAAGTGGGTTCGTTCAGATTGTCTCCTTTATTCCCCCAGAAGGAAGTGCTTTTTCAAAATGTTGCCACAGACTTGATGATACATGAACACACCTGGGGGGCACCCCTGCTGGGGACAGGGAGTCCCAGGTCATCACTGCTCAGCCTGCAGCCTGAATGGCTGCAGGCTTCTGACACTGCTGCAGTCCTTCCTGTGGTCTCTTCTTCCCTGTGGTCCTCTCTTTTCCTCTGCCAAATAGGAAGTGGTCTTATTGGAAGGGTGGAGAAGGATTTGGGGTGGAAAAGATATATTGCTTCCCTACACTCAAACCCAGCCCAAAGCCCAAGACTGAGGGATGAGCAGGGCACTTACTTGGTGCCAAGAACTGTGAAGAGTCTGAGAGTTGGTTTCACTACTTATAAGCTAATAAGTTAGCTTGTTGCTCTTTCGTGGATGCTGGCAGAAGACATGAGACTCCTGGGTCAGAGACAAAAGACGTTATTACTCACGGCACAGCAAGCAGCATGAGCATCAGCATATTTGTGTTGGTTCCCTCTTGCCACCAATTCCCATGGGGGTGATGTGATGGACCCATGTAGATGCCCTGCATGTAGTGAGTTTGGGTCACAGCTAAGGAACGCTGGACCAAGGGCCTGGCACTTGCTAGCAGTAAACATTGTAGCACACAGGCCAGTCCCCTCCACCCTGGGAGTGAGCAGTCACACAGTGGTCACATTGTGTCCCCTTGCCTACTTAGTTGTCTGCGTGACCAGCTACAGAAACTCTCAGCATCAGAGGATGGATGCCACTCAGCCAGAATATGCAGGGATGCTGATGGCCCCAGTAGCCCTACAGATGGGAAGCCTTCAGAGAGGGGATGTGACTTGCTCAGGGTCACACAGAAAAAGCCACACCTAGAACCCAGGCCTCCAGACTCCTTGTCCAGTGCCTTTTCCACCACCCTCCTCTGTCCTTGGGGGTTTCCACAGGACACCTGGCATGTTTGCAGCAGATCAGCCTCACCAGGAGGCGTTGAGGGGGGTGGGGCAGGGGAAGCCCGCATCTACTGCTCTGCTTCTCTGGGTCTACCACCTTCTTTTGTGGGTTGCTTGGGAGATGAGGAGGACGTGGTCAGCGAGGCCAACTGTGTCAGACTTGGTGGAGCCCAGCCATTTACTTATCAAACTGCAGTGGGTCTTTGAGTGAACATGTGGTTTGTCTAGTTGAAGGAGATATAAGAAGGGTTGGGTGAGGGAAATGCAGATCCTGGAGCATCCTGCTGAAAACAGCCTCCCTTGATTCACTTGTCCAAGGCCCACCCTCCTGCTGCATTGCTCGTCTGCCCCCTTCTCACAAGCCATCCTCTTCCTCTGGATACTAGGTCCTCTCGGAATCCTCAGACCCACAGCTCCCTACTTCTTCTAAGAAGGCTTATGACCCTCCCCGGGAAAGTTCTGGGCCCCTCCACACCTCCTCAACTGCCACCCACCACCCCTCCCTGATCGTAACTCTGAGCATCCTAAAATTCACAAAATGGGTACATGTGCTTTCTCCTCTGCTTCCCTGTTGGGGTCAAAATAGCATCTTTCTTTTCGTCCTGGCTTTCACCTGTGAGCTCCCCAGGTAGACCCACTCCTGGCCTGCTGCAGAGTGTGCGCCGCTGTTAGCCGGAAGCAGTGGTGCAGTGGCGCAAGGCTGGAGGCTTGCCCACTGGGAGGGTGTTCAGGAAGGCCCCTGGGGTTATGCTGGAGAGAGAGGAAGATGGAGGGCAGGCCTGGCTCTAGGGTGTTTGTGGAGTCCCCACTGAATTCTTTTATGTCTCTTTCTCCCTCCCTCTTCCCCCGGGACAGCTCTTCCCGGCCCCCCTGCAGACCCTGTCCAGGAAGATCGTGCGGTCCAAGATGAACAGCACCCTGCTTGGGGTGTTCACCATCATCTTGGTGTTCCTATCGGCTTTTGTCAACATGGTGGGTCGCTCTACCTCCCCAGTGCTTCCCCTGCCCCACTGGGTCAGAACTGGTGGAGCCCTGTACCCCACAGGCCTGGGCTGGAAGGGGAGTTTCCCCTAGACCCTGGAGTCCTCCCTCCCTGGAAATTCTTACTCGTGTCTCACCTTGAGACTGGGGTCAGACCCAGGTTCCTCGCTGTGAAGGCTGGTGAGCCATAACGACTCAGGGAAGTCCCCACGGGAGGTTTATGAGCCACGCACTGGGCAGCTGGGCACACCTAGCGCAGTCGTTGGCCTCTCCCAGCCTCCTCTCCTGTCCCCGGGCAGTGTCAGGCTGCGCCTGAGACAGAGGGTGGATGGGCACCCGCTGCCCTGTGGAGATGGGCTGCCCTGGCTGGCCCCCAGGGCTGACCCTCCCCTGCCCCGCCTCCAGTTCATGTGCAACTCCAGGGACCTGTTTGGCTGCCTGGCGGACGAGCACAACATCAGTGCCAACCAGGTCAACGCGTGCCACGTGGTGGAGTCGGCCGCCAACTACAGCCTGGGCAACGAGCAGGGCTTCTGTGGCAGCCCCTGGCCCAACTGCAACTTCCCCGAGGTACTGGGCAGGGAGGCACTGGACGCAGACGGAGACCCTCCCACCCCCTCTCTGCCCTTGGCTGCTCTGAGGGACAGTCGGGGGCCCTCGAGCTCACTGCCATTCCAGAGACCTCCTTCCTCCAGTCTCTCTCCATGTGTCAGACACCGGTGAATAAGGCCAGCCTCCTCAATATAACAGTAAAAATAAGAATAGCATAGCTATTGTTTACATAGTCCTTACCATGTGCCAGGCACTGTGCTGTGTGCATACGTAGCACTCATTTAATCCTCATTTACGCATTTAATCCTCACAACAACCCTATGACATAGATACTATTATTATCTCCTTTATACAGATGACACTGAGGCACAGAGAGGTTAAGTAACTTGCCCAAGGTCACACAGCGAGTAAGCAGCAGAGCCAGCGCTCCTACCCAGGTCTTCTGGCTCCAGAGTTCATGCTCTTAACCTGAGGGCAGAGCTGTTTCTGGACCCTCAGCTTCGGAGCAGACCCGATGCTGCCCCAGGAAAGCCCCTCTGCTGCGGGTCAGAGAGCAGAGAGGAGCAAAGGAAACGCAATCCCAAACCATACAACCATCGGGTTCACCCACTCCAAGTGTGCAACTCAGTGGCTTTTAGTATATGCACACACGTGTGCAGCCGTCATCGTCATCTAATTTTAGAACATTTTCATCACCCTCAAAAGAAATTGTGTACCTACAGGTTATTGGGTTTAAAAAATAGCACCGAGTACCCTTAGAGAGCAGCACGCATTAAGCGCCTGTGGTATTCGAGGTATTTCATTCACCTTGCTGGACTCCTCGAGGAGCAGCGAGCAGCAGGGCCAGGCTTCCAGCCCAGGGCGTGGGCTCCATGCACGGGGTGGTCCCCACACCCCAGCTCCCTGCCGGGCTCACAGGAAACCTGTAAGAGGATGGCAGTTTCTCCGTTTTCTGGGGAGAGGGTCCGTGCTTTCATCCAATTCACAAAGGGCCCATGACTCACAACGAGGGTCCAGAACTGCAGTGGGGGCCCCGTGGGCTGTCACAGTGCCAGCCTCCCCCCTCCCTGGGAAGGAGACTGAGCCGTCTCCCTGTGCACACGGGCAAGGGGACTCAGAGGAGTAGGGCCCCGCGGGTGCTCACCTGGACCAGCGCTGCTTCTCTGCCCACAGGCCCAGCACCTACCCCCCAACCGGTGCAGCCCTCTGCTCCCCGCCTCTGTTCCCTCTGACACCTGGCCCCGGGCCCACAGGAGCTGTGCCAGAGGGCTGCTTGCGGAGAAGCAGAGGCTGTTTTTGGTGTCGCACTTGCCCCTTGGTGGTTGCTCCGTGGGAGAAGCTGACGGGTCGGGGAAGAGGGCAGCGGCACGGCCGGTTCTAGCTCCTCGTTTGCAGGAGATGGTTGGTGCCAGCCTTCAACCCTCACAAGCCCGGCCACTTTCAGGCCCTGCCGGCCTCAGAGCTCTCGGGCTGACCCCCTTCCACAATGTTGTTGTGCTTCAGCAAATCCGCACAGACGTGTTAATGCTGGGGACCCCAGCATTAGGCTTTGGCCCCTGGTTGTCTGGGCCCAGGGTCTAAATGGGAATCCAGGCTGGCTCTGGGGGCCCCCTCCCCAGCCCCCAAGGATGGCGTTGTCTCTGGGGCTGAATTATCTGGTGTGCTCCCTACTCCTTCCTCTGCCCCCATTCCTGGTGGTGACTTGAGGCTGCTCCCTCTCCCTTCCAATCCCCGGGGGCCTCTGCAGCCCCTCTCTGGGTTCCTGAGGGCCTGGGGAGGCAGAAGGTCCTGGGGGCTACCCCCACCGCCAGCCAGCGCCATTAGTCCCCCAGCCCAAGACCGTGGCAGAGAACACTAAGAGTCCCGATGCCCGAGTCAGAAATAACGGTGCTGAATTTAAAAGAAAGAACAAAATAATAGATGCTGACGTGTCTAGGATTAGCGTCAGGGTGGACGGCAGAAGGGAGCCTCCAAGATCTCCTGGCTTGGACCTTCAGTTGTCTGAGAAAGAAACAGGCTCAGAGACCGCAAGGGACTTCGCCAAAGTAAATCATACGGGGCCGCCATCCCGCATCTGAAACCTTCCAGGTCAGGTACATTTTGGACAGATTTTAAAAGGTTACGTCACACCCCCGGTGGAGTCTGGGTAGCACCTGATAGTGAAACACGGTCATCTTTCTGCAGCAGAATGGATGAATCGTCACAGGAAGCAGGGTAAAGATGTAATTAATGTCACACCCGTCGGCCCAGGTGTTGCCACCATGTCAGTTATGAAAACACTCAGTTTTCAGACCTTTGGGTTTAAAGCTGCAGATCAGGGGTTGGGGCCTGTGCTCCCCACAATTATTGAGGGCACAGGCCCTGTGCCAAGTGGCTTCATCTTGGGTAATCGTCACAGTTAGCCCATGAGAGAGGAGGGTTTGCAGGTGGGGAAACTGAGGCTTAAGAGAGTTTGAATAAATGGCCCAGGTCACACAAACAGTCCATAATGAATCAGCAATGAAACTCAAGTCGGCCTGAGCCTGGAACCCTGCTCCAACCACTGGGCTCTACCACCAGTACCCACCCAACTCAACCCCGGCCTCCATCTCCTGGTTCCTAACCAGGGCCCTTCACATGACATCACTAGTTTGCCCTGACCCGGCTTCACTTCAGGCTGGTGGGATGCTGGGGGCGGGGCTGGGGTTGGGGCGGGGCCCGGGGCGCTGACGCCCGCTGTCCCCGCCCTCTTTCCCCAGTACTTCACCTACAGCGTGCTGCTCAGCCTGCTGGCCTGCTCCGTGTTCCTGCAGATCAGCTGCATCGGGAAGCTGGTGCTCATGCTGGCCATCGAGCTCATATACGTGCTCGTCGTCGAGGTGCCCGGTGTCACGCTCTTTGACAATGCCGACCTGCTGGTCACCGCCAACGCCATGTAGGTGGCACCCCCCTCACACCCCACACCGGGTCTGGGGCGTTGCGGAGAGGTGGGAAGAGCAGGAGGCTGGGGTCCTGGCTGTAGGGGCCTTGCAGTGGGGTGTCCTGTCGCTCCCCAGCTCTGACCACCTGGGCAGAGCACCACAGCGTCTGTTTCTTTCCCTCCTTCCATTCCTTGGTGGTGGGGTGGCCACAGGGCAACTAGGTCCCACTGTCCTTCTGTCTCCAGTTTCCTACTCACTCCCGACCTCAGGCCTCAGTGGATTTTTCCTCACTAGGCCAAGGCAGCCTCTGATGAGCTATTTTCATCTAACTCCGACTGCTTGTGGCACCCCGGTCCAAGAGGGGTCAAGGTTCGAGCTGGATAGCAAGGTCTGTGGGAGCAGAGGAACAGCCTTTGTTGTTCATGGGCTCTGTGTCCCACTTGAGCCAGGCGCTTGGACATACATTATCCCTTTTCACGCGCACAGCAACCCAGCAAAGTAGGCAGAGCCGCCACGGAGGGTTGGGTGGTTTGTGCACTGCTCAAAGGCTCCTGGCTGTGATGGTGAGCGATTGAGTCCCACAGGAAGTGGCAGGCATGGGGGTTGTGCCCCAGGCTATCTGGCTGGCAGTCCGCCTGGTCGTATAGTGACAGATATCAGATTTCCAAGGGAGGTGGCTCTGTGAAGGGAGAGAGCTCTAGCTTTGGGTCAAAATGAGTTTGAATCTCAGCCTCAGACACATTTGGCTATTTTTCCTGAATCTCATTGTTTTTTCCCCAGTAACATGGGAATAATAATACCCATAGTAGCAAATTGTATGTGAAGTGCCTGATTTGTAGTCCTCTTTTCTTCCCATCAACCCCCCCCCCCAACGCACACACAAGAAGAGCAAAAGTGTGAGTGACAGGTCTGTGTCCCCTGAGAAAATGCAGCCAACTGTGCTTCCTCTGGGTTAGAGGAAGGGATCCAGTCGTGCATCTGTCCACGCATTCTGAATATTTATTGAGGGCCCGCCGTGTCCCCGGCCCTGAGCTGGGCAGTGGAGGTCCAGTCATGGATGAAACAGGCAGTAACTCCAGTGTCAGAAACGTTACTCTTGTGAGGAGAGTGTTACCTGAGAGAGTGAAGATGTAAAGAAGGCTCTCAGTCAGATTCCAGGAAGAACTCCTTGGCGCTGTGTGGGGCTGGGGCAGGTGACACAGGGACATACTGGAGCATTGGGAGCCGTGCAGGCCACAGGCCTGTGAGGACGAGGAGAGGGAGGAGGCCGGGCCTTCCCGCTGTGGGTCGGGGCGCAGCGGGAACCTTCGCCTCCTCTTTCTTACCTGCTCCGCCTCCCCCACCCCCGCAGCCTCTCTTCCTCCTGCTGAAGGAGCAGCGAGTGGGGGTCATTTCTGGGTCGCGAGCCCCTGATTTGGCTCAAGGGCAGCACCATCCAGTAGATAAAAATGCAAGCCCCATATGTAATTGACAGTTTCCTAGTAGCTATATTAAAAAGGCAAAACGTGCAATTAATTTAAATAATAGTTTTATTTAACCAATATATCTACAACGTTATTTAATATGTAGTACATATAAAATTATTAATGAAATATTTTCCATTTTTTCCCACATGAGTTCTTCAAAACCTAGTATCTATTTTACACTTACAGGACATCTTAACTTGCACTCGCCACATTGTAAGGCTCAGTAGCAAAGGGCTGGGTGGGGAGAGGCGAGCCGGCTTTCGCCCAGGTGGATGTATGGGGGCTCCAGGGTCCCAGGGAAGGGCTGGGGATTCATGGTCATGGGGACCAGATGCTAGTTGGGGTGGGGCTTTCTGCAAACCTCCCATCCTGAAAGTGTTCTTGGACCCGGAGGGGTGTGGGGGGACAGTGGGGGCAGCAGGATTGGGCATGGGGGGGCACGGCAAGGGGGGCAGCAGAAAGCAGGGCATTTAGGGCAGAGTATGGTATGGGGGACAGAGCAGGGCGTGGGGAAAGAGCAGTGGGGGGGACAGAACAACATGGAGGGGCAAAGCATGTGGGGGGAAGAGCATTTGCAGAGCATGTGGGGGCAGAACATGGGGGAACAGAGCAAGGCGTGAGGGGCAGAGCTGGCATGGGGGCCGCCATGCAGAAGAGTGGCCCTGAACAGCTCTCCCCACCTCGTGTCCACAGAGACTTCAACAACAACGGGACCTCCCAGTGGTGAGTTGATGCCCCTTCTCTGATATGGCCCCTCCCTGCCCTTGTCACGGAGCAGCCAGAGGCCAGGAGCCCAGGGCCCAGCAGAGAAGGCAGCGGTGCCCCGGTGGGAGGGGGCCTTGGTGGGAAGGTGGGAGACTAGAGGGGGCAAGGAGGCCCTTCCCTCGCCAGGTACCAAGGGGGCCACATTGGGTAGATGCCTTCCTATTCTTTTATGATCCCCACCCCCCACAAGATGTTCTACAGACTCGGTGGCCAGGATCTCAGACCCACAGGTCGTTCCACAGGCCTCATCTTAAAGCATTTCACCTCAAGCTCTCCCCCTGGGGTGTGTGTGAGACCCCACACATGGTGACCCCCAGCCATGGGACCCCCGGGCATGGGACCCCCAGGCACAGGGAACAGGAACCGCTGCCCCCTCTCCCTCCAGAGGGAGGGTTTGTAGGTTAGCCCTGCATTGAGGCCACTGCTGGGCAGGGAGTCTATGCAGCGTTCAAGGTTTGGGCTCTTTGCTGGGACGGAGCAGGGTTTGGAAGAGCTGCTTTTGTAGAGTATTTATTAATAATGTAAACAGAAATATAATTAGACAGTAATAGCTACCAGTTTTGGAGTTCCTCCTGCGTGTCAGGTACTGTTCTGAGCATTTTGTACACCGTATCTTCAATTCTCACCACCATCTTGAGATGTGGGCATTGTCCCATTTTACAGATAAGGAAATAAGGCTCAGGGAGGTTAAGAGACTTGCCCAAGGTTGCCCAGAGATGGTCAGTATGGCCTGCCTGACTCCCTTGTTCCTGCACCTGCAGCCCCTGTCTTGTCCCCTGAGAAAGACCTGGGATGTACACGCTGCTTTTCAGAAGGGTCGCTTTCATCCCCTGGTGTGACCATCATGGGGAGGCTCCCCAGGGATAGGGGAGAGAAAAGCATCAGGAGAGGAGCGGTGGCTGCGGAGCTGCAGATGTGAGCAGGGGCTGAGACAGGGCTGCCAGCCAGGAAGGCTTCCTGGAGGATGCACACCTTAGGCGAAGTTTGAGCAGGAGGGGGAGCAGGAGGGAGAGCTGTAGTGGGAGGAAGAGAAAAGGCCTGAAGGGGCCTGGAACCTGCCACGAGTTGCCAGGCACTTGCCTCCCCCCAGCAACCCTGAGCACGCGACCAAGGTGGCTCTGAAGGTGGTGACGCCCATCGTCATCTCAGTCTTCGTGCTGGCCCTGTACCTGCACGCCCAGCAGGTGGAGTCCACCGCCCGCCTCGACTTCCTCTGGAAACTGCAGGTGGGTGGCAGGGGGCTGGCACTGGGGTGGGGGAGGCGCCCAGGCCTGGCGCTTTGTGAGTGAGCGAGCTCGTCGCCTGGGCTGGGCTGGGCCTCAGTCCTGCACTGACGAGTGTCCTGCTCAGACCTCGCCCCAGCTGGCCGGTGCCCCTTGTCCCAGCAGGTCTGCTCCCTGCTCTCTGGCTCCAAGAGGCAAAAGCCTGGAGCTTATTCCAGACAAACCCCCCCAGACAGTGCTGGGACTTCGATGGGCCCAGGAGACATGCTCTTAAGTCACACATACTGACGGAGCACTGCTACGAGCATCCAGAGGCAGGGACGGAGAGGCGTGGACAGGCCCGGTTTGTGGGGCAGCAGGGAGTCAGGAGGCGGGGGGGCAAGAGTGGCAGGAGGTGAGAAGAGTAGGGGCTCATAGTCCCGGTGTCGTGGGGCCAGGTGCGGGAGCGGGCTCCAGAGGCCTCTGAGCAGGGCTTGGCGTGACCAGAACTGGGCGTGAAGACTGTTCCGGGGGGCACGGATGGAAGGGGCATCAAAGACCGTTGATGGGAAGCCCAGCCAGGTGGCTGTGCCCTGGCCCTGGGGAGAGGTGCCTGGGCAGGGGCCGAGGCGGTGGGGTGCTGGGGGCCACAGCTCTGACCTGAAACCCAACCGGTGCTCTGCCCTCCAGGGTCTGTGCCCTGCACCCTGATTGTGCCACCTGGAGAGGGGACGCCGCGGGGCCACGCACAGGGTGCTCCAGGTGCTGGCAGCAGACCCTTGGCCGCTTGTTACCTACTGGACCACCTGAAAAGGTCCAGGAGAGGGCACCCAAGGGCACTGAGCTGAGAAAGCTTGGTCTTCCCTCTGGGTGATGGCTGGCTTGTCATACCAGCCCCGCCCTTTGCAGGGTGTAGCTTAGCCCGGCCTCTCTGCCCGTCCTGGCCTGCCTCTCTGTCCAGACCACTTCTCCACTTCATCTGCATCTGCTGAGACCTCTCCATCCTGAACTCATTAACGTTGAGATTAAAAAAGTCTTGAGGCTGGGGCAGGAGGTCCTGGACTTTCAGTGGATGCTGAGTGAGGATGGGGACCTCTTGTTTCCCCTGCTGTGGGGTGGTTTGCGTGAGGTCTGGCTGAGGTTCTGACTGAAGTCCCCAGTGGGGATGCCCTGAGGTTGGGGAACAGGCTGTGCATGAGGAATGGCCCTCACGAACCCTGGGTTGGGAGGGACTGTGGGGACATCCAGCGTGAGGCCGTACCTTCTTTTCTCAGAGCTGCCCCTCAGCCTCTCCCTGCTCTCTCTTGTCCCCTCCTTTGGGGAAGCTCCCAGAGGGCCCAGCTCTCTCCTAGGGCCGACTAGACTCTGCAGGACCTGGGACCCAAGTCCCCCAGGAGTCCCCAGGAAGCCCATTCCAAGATGGTTCTGTTGTGCAACTCAGTTGTGTTGCAAAGGCCTTGAGACGGGTGGAAGCCAGAGGAGGGCGAGCCTGCCCCTGCCCCCTCTTTGTGACCTGCTGCCCCCTCACCCCCTCCTGTGTCTTTGTCCAGCTCCCGAGTGCACAGGGTCAAACTCAGGCTGCCTGGTGGGGCTGAGCAGGGTGGCCTGAAGCTTCCCCTCGGCCCCCACGCCCTGTTCCCCCGACCCAGGCTGCAGCAGCTTGCTCTCAGCCCCCGGCCAGGTGCCGCCTCTCGAGTTTGAAGGTGAAGCCCTGGATGAACCACAGGCAGGATGCCTTTTCTCTCGGAGAGCTGAAGTCTCCCGGCTCTCAGCCGGCTCTGACCCTCCCAGGCCCGAACAGCCAGAGCCGTGGGGTGTCTCCTCTGCTGCAGGAAGGGGTGCGGTGGGGACAGGGCCGAGACCTCCTCTGGTCCCCTTGGTCGGGGGCCCCGCACAAGTGCCTCATAATTGCCATTCCCTCCGGCGTCCCCGGCTGTCACCCAGCCCCCAGCTGTGCCGAGGGTTTGGGGAGGTGTGGAGACCCGGTCTTTCTGTCACTCCCCGTGGGGTCTTCGCCCCGGGAGACACTTAACATTATTAGTGTTTGTCTCCACATGTGCCGCAGAAACAGGTTATCTCCACTTCATCTTTCCTCCCTGACCTCCTCCCTCCCCACGCCCCACACTACCCCCCATTTTTATCTTCTTTTTGGAGGGCAGTTTTAAGATATAATTTTAAACCTAAAGAAGAGGTCCAAGAACAGTATAAGGAACTCTAGCAGTCCCTCACCAGGTTCCCCAACCATTTTCCTGCATTCGCTCCATCAGCCCCCATCTCTTCTGAGAGGATGCCCCGTCACCCCTAAATTCTCCAGTGTCTACCTTCCAAGAGCGAGGACACTCCTTCATCACCCCCACGCGACCTCGCAGTCAGGAATCACTGGGCAGCACCGCCGGCCCACCCACAGAGCCCGTTCGTGGTTCACCAACTGTCCCAGCTCTGCTCCAGGGTCCCATCCGGGCAAACTCTGCATTTTGCTGCCGTGTCTCCTCAGTCTTGTCTCTCAGTCCTTGCCAGTCTTCAAAAGAGCCTTATTCCACGACCCGCAGCCAAAGTCCAGACTCAGGCCCCGCCTTCTTGAGGAACGCCGTGGAAATGATGCTGTGCACCTCCTGGCGCATCATACTGGGGCCTCCACCATGTTGACCTGTCCCACCCCTGGTGACGTTAACCTTGATCACCCACTCAAGTGGGCTCTGCCAGATTTCTCCACCGTCAGGTCCCCATCTTCCGCTTTGTATTCGATTACCATTTTGTGGAAAGGTGTTCCGATGTTTCACCGGTATTCACATCCTCAGCAAACCTCCCTCCACCAGTCTCCGCATCCATTACTGATTCCTGCCTGCCAGGTAGTGATGACCTGTGTCCATCACTCCGTCTGCATTTGTTAATTGGCATTCTGCTGTAAGGAAGAGCTCTCCTTCCCCCCACTTATTTACTCAGTCGTTCATTTATCTATATCAGCATAGGCTCATGGATTCCTGCTGAATTCAGTGGGTTTTAATCTGCTCCTCTCATTATTTATGTCAATGCTCGAATTGTCCTGGGTTTGGTCAGTGTGAGTTTCTTAGGTTGGCTTCTGTGTTCTTTGACACGTCTCCATCATTCTTTGAGCATTGTATTACTTTCTGGCAAAAGAAGATGTCTGGGGCACATCATGTCCTTTCCCTGCTTTAGCCCAGGGACCAGTGATTTCTTCAAAGAGCCCTGACTCTTGTTAGTGGAGGATGGTATTTAGAAGCCAAGATCAGAGCACTCCGTGTGCTCACTCTTGTATGTCCTCTCCGTGAACAAAGCTAGGAAATACATGTAAGTTTATATGAACATATATGTGTACACGCATACGTATGTATTGATATTACTTCAGTATCTCTCTTGATATTCATTCATATTTATACTGCTTCATCTCTCATGAGCCATGAGTTCCTACTAGTACCGCCATTTCTAACCCAACACCTCAAGCTTCTTTCCAGCCCTTCCACTTCCATGCTTGCAAATATTATCTCTGGCAGCGAGAAGCCCAGCTCCCATTATCTGTCGTATATTTACTCGTTTGCTCAATGGAACCAGCCTCCCAACCACTCTAGCCCCCTTCTCTGCCCACCATGACCTCTCCCGTCTTCACTGCCCTGCTTGCTGGCACACTGGGCATGCTGCCATGTGGCACCCTTTCTTCTGATTGCTTTGCTTCCTCAGGGAAGGAAGGGAAGATTGGAAGGGAAGTGGCTGACCCCCCGCCCCCATTTTGAAAACAGTTAAGAAGGCCTGTGCACATGTGTGCGCATGCGTGTGTGAGTGTGTGGGTGAGCATGTCTCTACCTGCCAGGCATGTCAGCCTCTCTCCATTGAAGCTCTGCAAAAGGCTCATGGTGCTCCCACCTCCCTCCATCTCCCACCCTGCCCTAGGGCTTTTGGGAGGAGGGACAACATCAAATAAATACCAATAAACAAAAACATGAATGCAAGTCCTCGGGATGGGTGAGTGAGGGTCCATTGCCCCACCCCCAGTCTTGCCCAGCCGCCCGTTTTGCTGTTGGATCTGTGGTCCTGGTGGATGGGTGTGGTGCTGACAGGGAGGTGGTGAAATCTGGGGTCCTTAGCTTCCCTGAAGCACGCGCACGAGGAACACACCCTTCCTTACCTGCAAGGCCCCCTCCTGGCCAAACCACTGGGTCTCACTTCTCAGGAGAGCCCACTTTTGTCCCCCTCCCACAGCGTTGACATTATTAGGACCAACAAGATGCTGTGGACCCCTGAGACTTCCTGCCTGGCCAGAGCCCAACCCTAGAAGGTGCTGGCTGTGTTGGCAGCTGCCCAGCATGTCTTGGGACAGAGTTCCCCAGATGTGGCTGGAGCACCTGGCCAGGGCCCTGGGGGCTTGGCCTCTGTTCTCAGCGGTAGCCATGCTCCCAGCATCCCTGCCTCCAGCCTCCATCGCCATTCTGCCTGACCCTTAAATGCAGATGCTCTCCAGGAAGGGCACATGTCACATTTCTGCCACCTGCTGGGCTGATCACAGGAGCTGGAGTGCTCCTGGGTCCCCAGGCATGTGGTCTCAGCAGGCAGTAGGAGCAGGACTGTGGGCAGCCTGGTGCATTTTCAGAGGCAGATGGACCAGCTGGACATCTCCCTGGGACAGCTTGCGAGAAGTCCAGGGATTCCCACCAGCCTTCTCCCTCTGGCACACTGGTTCCAGAGCTAGGAGCAGGTGGCCCTTATTTATCGGGGTAGGGAGGTGGTTAGTGTCCCACCTCACAGGAGCAAAGGTCACCTTCCAGGGCAGGAAGGTAGCAGGTGCCCACTGGACCCACCTGGTGCCTCAGGGTCCAGGAGCTTCCTGAGGCATGACCCCCATCCTTGCGGCCACGTTTCCAGTGGCTCCAGGAGTGAAGGGCTGTGGGTCCTCTCACCTTACGGGCAAAGCTCAGCCTCTGAGCCCTGGGGTCCCTGAGCTTTCTGCCTTCCCTGCAGGACCCAGGTCCTGCAGCCTTGTGTGGGGGTGCCAGCTCCTTCCCCATGACAGCTGCCGCCCACCAGGAGAGCCAGGGCCCTGGGAAGTAGTCCTGGTCCTTTTGGAGGTTCTAGTTGCAGCTGAATAGAAAGGCCTCCACATTTAGTTAGAGAACACCTAAGCAGGCTGCCTTACCAACACGGCCACTCCCAGTTAAAGGGACCATTGTATTTGTCATCAAGGGGGAGGAGGCCAGCAGACTCCACCCGCTACCCCCCGTGTCCCATGAATGCCCTGGTCAGATGGCTCCTTGCACGCCTTGGTGCATGACGACCTCTGTGCCTCAGCCTGTGGGCCACTATTGGCCTCTTGACCCGAGGGCTCTGCACTGTCCCTTTAACCTGGAGGGTGCGTGACCACCAACTCCAACTGCCCAGAGCCGGGACCCAAACTGGGGGAGAACCAAAGTCAGCAGTGATGTCCCTGTCCCACTCTGGGTGGCGCCTGGGGGCACCTGTGCCTCCTGGCCCTGCCTGGCTGCGTCTGGCCCTGGGGCGAGTCTGCTCTCGTGGGAACCAGGGAGACTGGGCAGGGCTTTGAGCTGTTCTCCCTTGGGGTCAGTCTGTTAAAGTGATCCTTACGGAACTGCTGTTCTGATTGTGTTTCCTGATAAGAAGAGGAAGAGGGAAAGTTGAGGAGCAGCTGGGTAGCCGGCGGGCCATGTAGGGGGTGGTCTTGGACCATCTGTTTCACCTGCTGCCTCGTTCTAGTCTTGGGCAGACAGCATCCTTTCAGCCTCTCCTCTGGGACCCATTTCCTCTCAAGGGTTCCCTCCCTCGGGATCAACATCCTCACGCGTGTCACTTTCCAAGAGGCAGGCGTGGAAGAGTTAGAAACTTAGAAATCTCTCTTTTCTGATGGTCAAAGTAATGGATGCTCTTGATAGAAAACCTGAGAGTAGAGGCAGCAGAGAGGAGGGGAGGAAACCAGCCACTCGTTGAAATCTTGGGCCTGTGTTGGCATTTGCGCGGATCACACTGTCTTTTTCTAAGCGGCGCGTCGCCTGCCCCCTCCTCTGACCGGGTCCTCTGTCCCAGGCCACGGAGGAGAAGGAGGAGATGGAGGAGCTGCAGGCCTACAACCGGCGGCTGCTGCACAACATCCTGCCCAAGGACGTGGCTGCCCACTTCCTGGCCCGCGAGCGGCGCAACGACGAGCTGTACTATCAGTCTTGCGAGTGCGTGGCCGTCATGTTCGCCTCCATCGCCAACTTCTCCGAGTTCTACGTGGAGCTAGAGGCCAACAACGAGGGCGTCGAGTGCCTGCGGCTGCTCAACGAGATCATCGCCGACTTCGACGAGGTGCGGGCGGGGCGGGGGCACTCGGGTCCCTGGAGCGGGAGGGACGAGGAGACCCGACGCCCCCTTTCACCTTCCAGATGTGAACAGTGATGGCAGGAGCCTGACTGTGTCCTGGGCACTTTACATACATTTCCTCCTCCATTGCTGTGTTACAGACGAGGAAACTGAGGCCCACAGGTATTAAGTGCCTTGCCTAAGGTCACCAGCAGTAAGTGGCAGAGCTGGGGTTTCAGCCCAGGCTGTTTGAATTTGAAGTCTGTGCCCTCGGCCACCCCATCAAGGCCCTGCCCAGCTAACTCACCAACCACCCCCCATCATCCACCATCCTTCTTGTGCCATCTAGGGTTGGACAGGGCCCGAGGCTGGGACAGCCAAGTGTCTGTGCCAGGGCTTGAGAGAGTCAAGGCCGGAGTTGTTCCCAGGCTCAGGGAGGAGGCAGGACAAAGACACAGGGCCCTGAACAGTGGAGGCAGAAACAGACATCTCTTCCTTTAGTTATCCCGCTCTTGTTGAGCACCTGGTGTGTGCCAGGCACTGGGGATGCTGCGCCCAGTCAGGCAGTCTCAACCCTGGGAGCTTACCGAGGAGTGAGTGTGAGCGAGCAACTCCAGTGGGAATACTGGGCCGTGGGCACGGAGCGCAGGGAGGAGAGGGGTGGGGGCGCTGGGACCAGACAGTGTCAGAAACAGCTCATGAGACTCCTGGGCTGTGGGGTGACTGGAGTTGGCTGAAATGGGTGTGGGCAGGCTTCTAGCAGGTCCTGGAGATAGGAGAAGAGTGTCCTGCTGGACAAAGATGAAGTTTCCCTGAGTGGGATGGGGACGTCAGCCAGCAAGGGGGAGATGGACTCCAGCCCCTGTTGGGAGCGAGAGACCCAGATGTGACTAATGACCTGGCCCCAGGGGCTCTTGGCATGGAGATGGCCTTGTAGCCCACAGCCACTATACAGTGGGTGAGTGCTGGGGGAGGCCTGGCTCTGTTGGGGAGCATCGGGGCTTTGCACTGAGTTGGTGATGGAGGCAGACCCCACTATGGGAATTGGGGAGACACGAGGGTCCCTGCTGCTGCACATCCCTGCAGATCTCAGTGCCCCAGACTTGGGGCTGACCCAGATTTGGCCTCCTTTCTGTCCAGATCATCAGCGAGGATCGGTTCAGGCAGCTGGAAAAGATCAAGACCATCGGCAGCACGTACATGGCCGCCTCGGGCCTTAACGACTCCACCTATGACAAGGTGGGCAAGACCCACATCAAGGCTCTGGCTGACTTCGCCATGAAGCTGATGGACCAAATGAAGTACATCAACGAGCACTCCTTCAACAACTTCCAGATGAAGATCGGTGAGCCGGGCCCCAGGGAGTGCAGAGGCATTTGGGGCTCCCCATCCACCATCGTGCATCCGTGACCCAGTCCAAGCAGAGGTTCACATTACACCGCATTCCTGCCCATGGGGGTGGGGGTGTGTACCCCTCACTCACAGCAGAATGCTCCAGGGGCCTGGAGGTGCCTCCTCTGTGTGTTGGTGACACACGCGGGACACCATCTTTCTGAGTTCCCATCTGTCTCACTCGTTGGGAAGTCCTGGTTGGACCCAGGCTGTGCTTGCCCAAAGGCTTTGTGGGGGATGCTGTGTGCCAAGGGCACAGGGCCTTCTGGTGGCTGCCTCACAGGCACGACAGTCCCATTTATTTCAAGTAATACTGACTTAATGGCAGTGTTTTATTTAAAAGTGTTCCAAATTCATTCAGTGAAAATGAAAAGCAGTAAAGTGAAATACTTATACATTTTAAGTACAAAATGTATAGACATGGTACAAGTCATTACATTTGCAAATTTATAAAAATATTGAACATATATTCTACAAAATTGTTAGCAAAATAAAGTAAAATTAAAAAAAAAAACTAAACATGAAAAGAATCATATAAAATTGACAATGAAATGATTATATTTCAATTTTTTTAAAAAAAGTAATCTTAAAAAAAAAAATGGGTGGAGGCCGGCCCGGTGGCGCAGCAGTTAAGTTCGCACGCTCTGCTTCAGTGGCCCGGGGTTCACAGGTTCGGATCCCAGGCGCAGACAGATGCACCGCTTGTCAAGCCATGCTGTGGTGGCGTCCCATATAAAGTAGAGGAAGATGGGCACGGGTGTTAGCCAGGGCCAATCTTCCTCAGCAAAAAGAGGAAGATTGGCATCAAATGTTAGCTCAGGGCTAATCTTCCTTACCAAAAAAAAAACAAAAAAAGACCCAAAAAAACCCCAAAATGGGTCAGTGGGGTTATTGCTGAGTTCCAGTGGTTTCTGTGTGCGTGTGAGCAAAATCTTCCAGGTGCTGTGAAAGCTTTTCTAATCTACGCAAATGGGGAGAGAAATGGTGAGGATGTGGAGTTAAATCAGGTCCACGTGTCTTCCCTGGATCCTTTGTCAAATGCCTCGGCCCTCGTTGGTAGCTCTGAGGAGCCTTGTAGATGCTGTAGTGTCCCAGGGTGGGGACTGACATAGAAGAGAGCAGGGGATTCCGAGCAGAGGCCCTGGGTCAGTTTCAAAACAGTCAGGGCCATATTCTACTTCCATAGAAAATCTTTGAACCAAACACCTGTATAATTTCTTTCCTTTTTATGTTTAATTTTGTTGTTTTATGACTGCAACCTTTTCTTCTAATAACTTTCAACTCTACAGAAGAGTTGCAAGACTAGTACAATGAAAACCCAGGTACTCACTCATTGGCTCCACCCTGCCTTATCCACAAAATGATTTCAAAATTACCGCTCTGAATTTGTTGCTCCATAAAGTTCAAGGTGTTTCCACAGTTCATTTCGTCCTTAGCATATCTCTTACCAAGGATGAGCTATTTTTGCAGTAGAAACTGCTCTGTCCAGTGTTGCTCTCTTCCTCCTCTTGAGGATTGTGGAGGTAAAGAATGCTTTCTGGAAGAGCAGACCTTTGTTCTTTTCAAACTTTTAATGCATTATCAACTCCCTGAGTATGCCTCAAGCCATAAATGATTCAGATTTCAAATTTTGAAAAAAGTAATTCACCAAGAAAAATACTGGCATTTCAATTCTCAAAATTAGCACAGTAAACCGAAATATTGGCTTACTAACAATCCATATTGTGATCATTAATGTCCTCAGGAGACATTTTGTTCTGGCCTGAGTATTGTGAATTGGGCTTTCCCTGAACGGGCTGGCTTGTTGTAGCCAGTGGGCCCCGTGTTGGGGGACTTGACCTGGTTTTCAGGTGCATTGGCTGCTAGAAAGCCCAGACCAGAGCCAGCTGGGGCTCTGCTTTAACTGCTCGGCAGCCTACGCTCCGTGTTAACTTCACTCTGGGTTTCGTGATGGCGCCATTCGTATTTTCCTTTCACCCCATCTCTCCCCCTGCATTGATTTGTATTTTTCTCCCAGTGTGTATTTTTGTGAGCCGCCTTAGCTCCTTCTTCGGACCAGGGCTGGGAATTGAGTGGCAGGTAGACAAGCGGCTGGGCAGGCAGGTGGAAGCCTTGTGTGGCAGATCCCTGCCTCCAGGCTCTGGAATGTCTTCCCTGGGGAGCTTGGCTCTTGGCCAGTGAGATGGACACTCCAGCCTGGGAACACCATGTGTGGTAAAAAGGTGCATGTGGCTTGACAGGACCAAAGAGGAAGGTTGTGGAGGGAAGAGTTTTGAGGATCGATGACATTTCTGACTGAGTGAGTGGCTCGAGGGCCTATGTGGGAGCTTCTGCTCTATTCGTGGTCCCACCTCTCACGCACAAGAAACAGTGAAGCAACAATGAGGCTTAACAAGGCCCCGGGTGAGAGAGACGGTTTATGTAACAGGAGGGGGCACCCTGGGGCTTGGAGACAGGGCGAAACATGTCTAGAGAATGTCAGCTGAGGCAGACGTGTCAGGGAGGGATTTCCTGGAGAGGAGGAGGGGGACACTTCAGCTGGAGAACCAGCACGGCAAAGGCTCAGAGGCGGGTTGCTCAGGGTGGCCTGGGGTGAGATCCGGAAGGTGCATAGACTGGGGGAGATGTGCTAGGAGCGAGGCAGAGAGCCCGCGTGGACGGCGGCCATTGCTTCCCGGAGCTCAGTCACAGCAGTATCGCTGCCCTGTCTCAGGTCCTGGGAGGCGGATTACCTGCAGAGAGAAGAGACTGGTAGGTGAGGAGCTAGGTTCTAAGAACAAGAATGGTGGTGACCCTAAGCAAGCAGCGGAGTGAGGAAGAAGAAAATGCAGAGTTCTGCTATGTTGAGTCTGAATGGACAGTGAGAGCGTAAATGCCCCCGAGAGAGGGACGATTAAGGAAAGGCAGTTGGATGACACAAGAGGTCCCTGGAAAGCTTGAAGAGGGCAGTCCTGGTGATGGACTCGCAGGAGCTGAGCGTTGACTGGGTGGCAAGGACACAGGAGCAGTGGATTGTGAACAGGCTCCTGTGGTCTTGAGTTAGCAGGCATTTGATAGGAGCAAAGAAGTGGGAGCCGCAGGGTTAAGCACGGCCTCCGGCCTGGAGGACCCTGGGTGTCTTCAGGCCAAGAGTCAGAGGGAGAACCTGCTGGGTGTCGCGGGAAGAATGATAGCGAGGGCAAGCATTGGCCTGAGCCCTGAGGAGCATGCTCACTTCTGTCCCCTGCAGGGCTCAACATCGGCCCCGTGGTGGCCGGGGTGATCGGGGCCCGCAAGCCTCAGTACGACATCTGGGGCAATACAGTGAACGTGGCCAGCCGCATGGACAGCACCGGTGTGCCTGACCGCATCCAGGTGAGTGCAGGAGCGCCTGCCGCCCGCCTCACCCGCATCGGGGCCTCTGTCTGCTGCTAAGCGGTCTTCCCACAGGCCGCCACAGTTCCCAGTGAGAACTTCTGCAGCCGGGTTTGAGGCTGGTGGGGTAGTTGGTGCTGAGGTCTTGGAAGCTTGGACAAAGGATTGTGTTTCAGACCCTCAGTACCTTGGACAGATCTTCAGTCCTGTGCAAAGCCCTCTACTGGCCACAGAATGAATTGGGGGTACAGGGGGGAGCCAGCTGCCATGCCAAGCCAGGAGTGCTAATGCCACAGCCCAGGCTCACAGAAGGGACGGAAAGATGGCCGCGGGGAGCAGGGTCCTGTCAGATGAGCCCCCAGCACTCAGGGCCTGGTTCAGGAGCACCAGACAAGGCCACTGGTCCCTGGGACGGTGGCCCTCAGGGGCCTAGCCAGAGACCTGGAGACTTTTTCTCCTATCTTCATCCTTTGCAGGCTGGTGCTTGTGATTCCCAGGCCTGCGCTCTTCAGCCGCTTTTCTTTGTTTGTCTCAGTCCTTTCTGACTCTTTCTGTTCCAGTCTGACAACAGAGGCCCTGGGCTGGGCTCTAGTCTGCACACACCACCCCCTCAGGTCCCTGTGAGGCTGTGGGCAGGTCGCTTAGCTTCCCTGGCCGCAGTTTTCCCAAGTGCTGACTGTGCTCTTCTTGTGGTCCTTTGCTCACACTGACACTCCCTAAATGTCCCCTAACTTCTCTCTCCTGCGGGGCCTCTGAACAAGGCGGGTGGCCCCAAGCATGGCCTTGGCCAGATCAGCCTGGCCTGACCAGCTCATGGATGCTGAGGGGCCTGGCCAAATGGCCTTCTCTCACCTTCCCTGTGCCATGGGGAGAAGGGACAGCAAGAGGGGAGCTGGGGGTCCTGCGGGGAGATGGGGAGAGAGGCGTGTGTGTTTACAGAGCTCCTGACCTCACCCTGGATGGGTGCAAGGGACTGTCGGCACCGCACAGCACCCAGCACCTCCCCTCTGCTCAGGGCTCACCACTCACAGAGCACGCTTACTAACACGGCAGGGCCACTCCCAGCCGCCCCCCGGCGATGCCCGGCCCGCTTCCTCCTGGCAGGTGTGCTGCGGGGTGGCGGGCTGGGGGGTGCAGGTCCTACTCAGCAATAATGGCTTGTGGGTCGCCCTGCGAGGCATCTGTCGGCACTGCTGCTCCCACACTCTGCTTTTCTCCCTCACCCCGCAGTGATGCAGTGCGGTGACCGGGGCCACCTGCGAGTCTGCCTCTCTGTCCCGAAAGCTAAAGCAGAGACGGCAGTAAGATCCGGAACTGAATCCGGGCTCTGCCTTTTATTAGCTGTGTCACCTCAGGCAAGTGACATAGGTTTCCTGAGCCTGAGATAAGAGTTCCTACCTCCTAGAAAGATTAAATGCTATAAGCAGTGGTTCTCAAACTATCTGTGGTAAAAAACCAGTTTCCAAAGATATTTCCGATCTGTTGTGGAGGAGACCTTGGCAAACACTCTGGTCACATGTTGGGATAGTGTCTGCGGCAGTGTCACGTTGCTGTAAAAGCTCGTAAGCACTTCCTCTCAGCGTCCGCACTTCTTTTGTTACGGACGGGGACAAGCAGTTCGTGGACCGCAGGCCACACCTTGAGTAGCACTGAAACAGCACGTGTGAGGTGCTCCCCACGCTGCCTGGCACGGAGTAGGTGCTGCGTCCTCATTTCTGAGCCACACTTCTGTGGACGAGCAGCTGTCAGTCCCTGGGAGGGGCTGCCCTGCCTCTGTGTCAGAGGCGGTCGGGCGGCTCTGCCCCATGGCAGATTGATAGCTCAGGTCATCCATGGCCTGTCCTCTCTCCTCCGTTGCCTCCTCAGGTCACCACAGACATGTACCAGGTGCTGGCCGCCAACACATACCAGCTGGAGTGCCGGGGTGTGGTCAAGGTCAAGGGCAAAGGCGAGATGATGACCTACTTCCTCAACGGAGGGCCCCCGCTCAGTTAGCAGCTGCCAGCCGATGATGCCAGGCAGCCTGGCCTCCAGAGAAACGGAAACGGCTTCTTTGTGTGCCGGGTGGGCAGGTGGAAGCCTGCGCTCCAGCCCGCGGGGCGGCGCCGGTGAGATTTTCCACTTTGACTCCAGAAGCAGCTTCTGCCTTTGCGGGCGGGCAGCAGCCTCCATCCCAGGCCCCGGGGTGCCAGCGTCCTGCGAGCACCAAGCTGACCAAAGATGTTTCCCTCTGAAGAAGACTCCGCTAGACTCGATCTGAATCTTGAGTTTTCTAACGGGTGCTGCTGCGCAGGTGGACAGGAGCTGCGGAAGCGTTGATGGGTGCGTGGCAGCCCAGTGCTGGGCCGGGGGAGACACCTCGGCCTCAGGTGGGTGGGCAGGTGGGCGCGACTTTGGCCCCGGGGAGCCTAGGGGTCCCCAGCGGTCTGCTTTTCCATGTCAGCCTTTACACTTCAGATAGAGGCCGCGGCCCCTGCTGCTTGGAGGGGCTTTCGGGCAGGAGTGCTGGCTTTGGAGGGACGGTGGCCTTCATCCCTGTCCTCCTCCTCCACCTACACACACACACAGACTCTGCCCCTTCAGGGGGAGGCGAGAGGACTTGAAGCAAGGAGTGGTGGTTCTGAGGAAAAGAAAATATTTATTAAATAAAACAAGTTTCTGTGCCCTTCTTTGGACTATGCTAGTTGTATGCGTGTAAGAGACCCACGACCAAACGAGGATGCCACTGGGGAGGGAGGGCGGGGATCCCAACTCGTCTTTTTTGTATTTTTTATTTTGTATTATTGAAAACCTTGGAGATATAACAAATATACCAAATTCTATATTTTGTAAATTCTCTATATTAGAAAACAGCTGTGCACAGCGGGGGGTTTGTACTCATTTGTACTGTACGTATGTCGATGTATGTGCTGGGGTGTGGTGTGTGTGTGTGTGTGTTGATGCTGTGGAACTGGTCTCACACAGGACGCCTGTTTCCCTCACTTCGGATGTGGCAGTTTTTGGTTTTCCCAGGTCCAACCAGAGCAGTGAACGTGTGCTTTTGGGGTATCATACGTTCAGATTAAGTAGGAAGATGCATGTACACATTCCCCCATCGCTCACTCTCTAACACACACACATCACTTCCCCTAAGTAAAATGCAAATGGAACAAAAAAACAAAAAGCTTCTTTCCCATCTCAGGTGAGTTGAAACCTAGGGAAGCAGCCTCAGCCCTCAGGTTCAGGGAAAGGCGGTAGCCGTGCCCTCCACCTGCAAACTAGAGGAAAGGGTAGAGCCCAGCTTCAGAGTCCACGGGGCAAAGCTAGAAGAAATATTTTTTTTTCCAGCAGAAATTGGTTGTTTTGGGGGGGAGGGGGCAGTTAAGTGCACCGAGAAAAAAATTCTATTTTTTATACCCTATGAGGGAGGCTTTTGGAAAATGATATACTATCAATCATAGAGAGAGATTCAAACAGAATCCTTGGGTCTTGTGCCCAGATCTTTTCATTGCTTCTCAGGGCAGAATTAGTCTCACCACCAACACGAGCCTGAAGGAGGTGAGGTGGCAGCTATATAGCAGCTGCAAAACATTACTTTGATGCCCACCTGCACCACCTCTCACTGGACACTAGCACCACCGCCCCCTTCCACACACCAACGCCCACCTCAGTTGGAACGCAGCTCTGAGAGGCAAAGCTATGGACCTAAAACTGCCAGCCTGAGTCTGTCTGCTTTTGCTGCCCCACCTTTTGAGTTCTGCGTCGCCCCTCTGGCACCTGTGGCGAGGGGCCGGCTTTCTCCATGGTGTTGTTCTCAAGTCCCCTTCTCCTCCACATCGCCCACAGTGGTGCTGGGTTTTCGTTTTGCTTCCAACCCAAGTAACGTGTGTTTGTGCTGAGTTCTCCCCCTTTCCCCTGTTGGTCATGGCCTCCCTGGCCTCGTGGGGGCCCATCCCCCCATCCCTGCAGTGACTGGTGACAATGTGCAGTGCTAGCTCTTCATTCCCTCTAAGGGGTGTGCACTCTTTTTATTCCTGCTCTTGCAAAAACGGATACGATTATGATTTCCCATGGAAATTGAAAAGTCTATTTAAATAATTTAACTATTAAACACTTTCACTGGTGATGTGTCCTGGTCTGATTTGTGGCGTGGGCCAGGGGCCTGGTCCCCGTCTGAAGAACAGTGCACTCAGCCTCTGGCGGGGCGCTGGGGAGGGAGCCTTGGCCAGAGACCTGCCCTGAAGGGGGACAGCATCTTGCTGTGCAGAGCCTTGTCAGCTGAAGACTCTGTCATTGTGGCAGCAGGTGGGAGAACACGGGCGACCTCGGCAAGAGGCGCTTCACTGAACTGAGGAGCAGGTGCCAGGGGGCAGGAGGCCGAGGAATGAAGGGATGAGGAGAGGAACCAGGAGTGAAGGGGACAAGGGATTGAGGATGGAACCAAAAAGATCGAAGGTCCAAGGGAGGATGTTTCAAAACAGGTGAGGCAAACATGTTTCTATGCTAAGGGGAAGAAAGTTGAAAATGTAAGAGAGAAAAGAGCACTGAAAGGACCCACGTAGGTGGGAGGGGAGGAGATGCAGGCCAGGGGCGAACTGATTTGACCTGGATAGCTGATGACGATGGCTACCATTTTGGGGGCACTCTCTGCGTGCCAGACACTGGGATAAGCACCTTACAAACATTATCTCATTTAATCCTCCTGGCCACTGCATTTCACTGATGAAGAAACAGACACACAGAGGGTGAGTTATTTGCCTAAGCCCACACAGCTGGTAATTAACAGAGATGAGAAAGCAGGGCTGTCTGCTAAGCCCATGCAGGCAACTTCACACGTGCCCCAGGATTCCTCTTTCCCCAGAGGAAGGGAAAGGTGGTAGGAAGGCAGGGGGCCCTTTTCAGCAGTTCCTGCCTGCTGCTCCCATGAAGTGTATGTAGGGTTATAGTTGGGTTCAGGAAATAAAACCAGAGGGGCTTGGTCAAATTAAATTTAACACAGGTGAAAATGAAGGAGCCAGTGAAAAAGACGTCACTGGGTTCATTGCAACAGTGGCCACGTGGTGACGTAGATGTGGCAGTCCTGGTCATAGGCAGGCCTCCTGCTCCAAAGAGGATAGAATTCCAATGTGCATGATGAAGGATGTGATTGTACAGAGCTAATGTTTAACTCAGCACTTTTCAGGCTGGGGTACATCAGTTAGAAAAGCAGACCAAATGACAAGGCCAGACTCTAGGGGCTGATTGGCCTAAGTGGGACGCTCAGCTCCCGAAGCCCCACCCTGCTGTGCCTAGTAGAGACCGACCCTCAGGCAGGCCCATGAAACCACATGCGTGCATGTGTGCACCCAGCGCACACAGGACGACAAAGGAATGCAACTCAGAACCTTCATAAGCCCTTGCCATCCCCATCTCTGTTGAGCTAATCCCAGAGAACATATTTGTTTCTCCCTTAGAGATTTATACTTTTTCCCAAAAGCGTATCCATACCTAGCATGTTAATTAGCAAAACTTATTAGCAAAGATGCCACTGATGTGTGGGGTGAGTTTTGAATACCACTTTAATGCCACTGACAGCAGAGACCACTAACACCAAGACCAGACTTCAGCCAGCACGGTGACGACTTGACTGTAGTGGGGGGTCAGCGACGTTGGCGGGAAGGCACAGGGAACCTTGGCGCACTGAGGAAGCTGAAGCTCAATATTCACCAGGGAGCCGTGTTAGTTTTCAACTTTCAAAACGATAAATACATTTACAGAAGTTTTCCAAAAAGCAAATATCACCTGAGTGGCATATAGTTCAGTGATGCCCAGGGCTGTAGTTTTTACATGATTGGAAAAAAATGGGTGTTTTCCATAAGGTTGCAGCCTGGCTGTAAGCTGCTAATCAGCAGAAAATGAGCTTCCCAGAGCCTGAAAAAGATGCTGAGCTCATGTCACTGAGGGCGGGAAAGCATTCCTGGGCACTGGAACGTACAGTGCTCAGTAGTGCTGAGCAGAATCTCACTGCCATCCAACAAGAGAACGAGAGTGGCAGGGACAAACACACTCTGAAAACCCACAGCTTTTGAATTTGTCTAAATTGAAACAACTCCACACCAAAGAGAACAAATATTGTACAGGTCATCTCCAGAAGGAAGGGATTGACAAGGCTGGGCTGTGCTGGCCGTGCCACTTAGCACAGGTGTCAGGAGGAGAGTTGGGAGGGCTGTTTTGTCTGTGGGGTAGAGGTGAGGGGAGGGTACAGCAGACCAGAGAACACCATGCCCTCCATCTGGATGAACTTCACAGTGTATGAAGAGCTTTCACATACATTCTCCCACTGCGCTGCCCCCCAGGCCTAGGAGGCAGTGGGAGAAAGGACTGGGCACCCCCTGCGGCTGCTCTGATGCTCGGGGACAAAAGCTGTGGCTCCAGCCCACAAGCACTTCTGTCCAGTGTGCCCATCTGGCTGGGCACTGACGACCTTGGCAGGAACAGAGGGCCTACCACTCCTCAAGGTTGACAGTAGATGAAATGGGATCCAATTACCACAGTACTACAGCTTTTGTCATCCTTCCAGATTTTCAATAAAGCCCTTTGGTGGTTTTTTTTTTCCTGTCTTGGGAGGAAAAGTACAACATTTGCTGTCCTCTTCTTGCCTGTCTTTCCTTTCCACCTGCGGGGTCACTGCTTCACAAGACAGACACAAGAACACAGCCAGATGAGGCCATTGGAATGGCTGGTCTCCAAGGTTTCTTCCTCCTCTGGCATTCTCTAATATTTGTGTAACTCTTTATCCACTCTTCAAGTGCCAGACCACATGTATGGTGCAAACACAATCAAATTAGGATTTTGAGGTTTTAGAGCCAAAGACAGAGAGACAATGAGATGAAAGCATCGTGCCAAAGGGACCTGTGGGAAGATCACCTTCAAACCAAAGTCAGAAGCAGCCTTTGCTCTGTCCTCCTCCAGACACCAGCCCAGCAGCAGCAGCAGGCGGCCAACAGCAGTGCGGCCGAGTCCGTTCCAATCAGGGCCCTGATCCATGGAGCGTGGAGGGTGGGTGATCAACCTAGGTCACAGAGCAAGCTGAGGGTCCAGAAAGACAGGGGATGGGGGCAAGAAACTATACAGAGAAGGAAAAAGATTCATCCAGGGCTGAAGGTAAAGTGGGCATCCTGTCCCCACTGGCTTGCCAGCCCCAGACCTCACCCGCCCATCTGTTTCTAGTGAGCAGAGCTGAGCCACCCCTTCACTTGGTGAGCGCATATTCATCCCCAAGGCCCCTTTCATATAGCTGGTCTAGTAGGCTCGTGAATTTAAAGAACTCTCTCTGGAATTCATTAGTGGCATCCCTTTTTTTCCCCTCAGCTACTT